AAAGTCTGCAGGTTTTTTTTTCTGTTCATAATTACAGAGGGAGCTTGCTATTTTTAAGGCTGTTTTTTTAAAACATTTGAAAGTATTTGGTGAAATAATTTCTAGGGGTTTTTTTTTTATTTATTTGTTGTCTTCAACTGACTCCCTTAAAAAGCTCTGGAGAACAAATACACAGGAAAAAATGAAAATATGTTAAAATAAGGAATGAAGCAGTTACTGAGGTGTAATAATCCCAGTTTATAGCACACTTTCCATTTAAATTGTTTTTATTAGAGATAAACCTGTTAAGCGTTGAAGAATTAAGTGCTGAATAGAGAAGGCTGTTTCACTGCTGTATAAATGAAGGATCCCAGTATGTAGAAAAGAGTACGGCTGGTTTTACGAGTGAGTTATTTGCCAGTTTGAAGGGCTCTGGTTACTTTGGCATCTGTTACAAAAAATCATGATTTGTTTGTTGTCAAGAGGGATACTGTTTTTTTCAGAGGGGCAAGAGAGATTTTAGCACTGGGGTTTGTAGGTACTGTGGGCTTTCTCATCGTCCTTACGCCTGGTTTGCTAGAAGGAGCTCAAGGAGAAAACGAGGCAGAGGGATTTTTGGGAATTTCTTGGCACTGCTGTTGATACACAGACTTCTGGCTTGCCGTCACGTGCAGCGCTTTGGGACAATGTTGAGCAGCCTACAACTCTAAGTATCAAAAGTCAGTAATGGTGTGAAACTCTCCTCATTTGGGAGGGCTAGGAGGAGTGAAAAATTCAACATATCGCTGAGTCTCAGCATCTCCTTTCAGACAGACGGTCCTGGAAAATTTCATTCAAAGACTGCAAATTGGAAGTCCCCGCAATCGCTCTGTCGATTCTTGAGCAAAGGTGACTTTGGAAATTCGTGACAGCGGAGGAAGGTCTTGTTTTATTCACTCAACAGAAGTGAAATACAAGGGGAAGGGAGAAAGAACAGATCTGTGCGGAAAATGTCACTCGGGCTGTAACCTGAGCCTTAGCGAACTGTGCCTTTTGGAGGGTTTGGTGACCCTCCGAAAATCCTTGCTCTCTGGCTGCTATTATTGTAGCCAATTTCCAACTAAAATAAGTCTTTTGTCATCACCAGCCATGCCGCCTCTCGCTGAGAAGAAACAAAACTTGTGCGTGGCAGCGAGGGCGGCCAAGCTGAAGGTCAGAGTGCAGAGGCGGATTGCTGCATCCCTGGGGCCGGGGCTGGATCTCACCCGTGGGACCGGCGCTGCACCGACCGGGGAGACTGCCAGTGACCTCTGGAGACAGACCCCGGGCGAGAAGCCTAAGAGAAAACATCCTAGTAAAATGCAAATTGGAGAAAAGAGGGTTTCCTCCTCCTCTTTAGGGTTATGCAGGTGGAATAGCTGTTTTTTTCTTGCTTTTTGGGACACGGCAAGAATCTCATCTATCCAAAAGGGCAAGGAAAAGTTAGCTTGAAAAAAATAATAAATACTTTAAACTTCTGTGTTTGCCCAACTGTTCAAACGTTTCCTCCATGCCAGATCCTTCCCCTTGCAAAACAAAAAGGGAAAAAAAGAAAAAAAAGCAACCCAAAGCATTGTTTTGCAGAGTTCTCGGCTCTCCTTGGGCGGGGAGATGGGTACCACTTGGACACTGAGGGATCTCATGTTGTTTGTGCCACTATTGATTCTGCTCTTTGGGGGAAAAAACCCAAACCAAAAAACCTCTTCCACATCGGAGCAAAGGTACCGATAGAGCACTGGTGTGGAGAAAAAATACTTTATGCAAGTCTTTGAGTCTGTGCAGGTCTTTACTCACACAAGTAAGGTTATGCAGCTGTCTTAATCATTAACTTAAGTTTTTTGCTGAGTCTTATTTTGACAATACTCCATTTGAGTAGCACTTAACACGCAAATACCTTTTTTAGGTCCCAATTCCTCTGAACTTTTAAAAATTAGAGTGATTTAGGGTTTCTTTCTCTTAAGATAGGTAAATGTGAACATATGGGAAAAGGGGCAGTGAGACTTTTACTGTAAGCTTTTCTGTTCCATCATTTTTGCTGGTGTTACGTCAGCCTGGCACTTCGGAAATTCAAAGAGCGGTCAAACGATCTTGGCCCTTCTATGAAAGAAAAAAACACAGAGTATGAAGAAATTATCCCCATGCCTGTATATTTCTGCAGCTACAGCTAATTCACAATTTTGCTTGCAAAGAGTTCTCAAATGTGATTTATAAACATAACAGCGCTGCATTGTGCTCTCTCAAGGCAAACCACATTAATAGTTTTAATCTGATGGGTTCTTACGAATTCCAGGTTTGGGATGCAGGAAGAAACTTGAAAGTGAATACTTTCTTCTTTTTTTTTAATGCATAGTGGTTTGGAGTCTACTATAATGCAAAGTAAAGCGTTCTGTTACAAAGGCAGGGAGGATGGGACAGAAGGTTAAAGGGCATCCTGGAAACAAACAGCTGGACCAGTTTATTTAAACAGATACAAGGATGGGGAGCTGACCTCCGTTTGACTTCTAGTGGGAGGAGCGAGAATGTCATTTTATTACTTTGCCCAGAAGGAAAATGTTCTTGCGTCTGAATTCCCCCCGAAGACATCCAAACACTGGGCTGTTTGGCAGAATTGCTACTTATAGAAAATACTTATACAAATGCATAGGAAGAAGATAACTGTTAAGTACCTGTGTGTAAACTGTTCTTAAAGCAGGTATCCCAAGCGATAGTGTGGGGCAAACAGGTGAGAATATGTTTTACTGTAGGCACGTCTTGTGGATAATTATTGGTAAATTCTAGCTATATAGTTTATTACTGAGCCCCCCTTCTTACTAAAAGCGCTTGTAGTTTGGAGGAGAAGGAAGACAAGGTTGTGAAGTTGGGGTGTGCATGCTTAATGTTGCTCAGGGTTTCTTTGGGGTTCGGTGAAATGGAGGGTTCGGTGACCAGCCAGGCTACCAAAAACCCTCCCCGCCTGCCGCAGTAACAGGTCCTGGCAATCGGGCAGGGAGTAAACACAGCAAGAGCCTGCCAGGCTTGCAGAAAGAAACGGCTGGGGCACTGGGGTTTGGTGGTGTTGTTTTACTTAGGAGAGATACTGTGAAAATTGCTTTCTGCAAATGCAGATTACAGATATTAAACAATTTTCTAATTGGTCATGGAGCTAAGGCAGCTAATGGGGGAAAAAAAGCAGATTTTTTTTAATTGCTTATTTCGCATGGTGTTTGTGCTACACCTGTGCTTATAATGAGAAAGGAGAATTAGTCTAACCTTCTGCTCACATGATTCTAATTTTCATGGTTTGTACAAGATAATGATAAACTGATTTGCAACACCGTTTGCTGGAGTTGAGGTTGTTTTTTTTTTATTGGAAATGTGTAGAAAAATTGATCCAATACCGTTGCTGACAAAACATGACCTAGTTCAGGTGTAAGGTTTCCAGATCGGCACCCGGAATTGGTGCCTTTGAGCCCATTTTGTCAAGACAGGTTTGATTAGGACTCAACATCTTGATTAATTTTTGTGGGAGTTTGGGTAATGGGAGTCAGTCAGGAACGGGAGATAGGAGCAGACCGAAACCGCTGTACTGGTCTTTCATGAGGGCAAAACAAACAGCACGGCGCAGTGATTTGCGATTCTTCTCCTCACCAGTGTAGGGGAATGGGTGGGCAGGGCAGCTTCCTGCGGGAGGGTCCTGGTGGCTTTATCTCTGTGGTCGGAGAGCTCCTGCTAAGCCACCCCAAGCAAAGGCAACAGAAACAAGCACCAAGTAGCCCTTTGTGGACTTTCCCGTTGCGTTTTACAAGTGTAGTGTGGTTTTACCCGTGCTCACACTTCTTCCTTTACTAGTAAATATTGTGGCATACACATTTTTATTATTCTTTTTCTCTCTCGTAAAGAATGTAAAGTCTGCTTATGAGGCTTTGCCATGATTAAATCTCAGTGGAGATGTTTCCCAAATGGTTTTTAACTAAGCTTTCTGAAGAGCGAAACCATAAGAGAAGTTCTTCTAATGCTCTTCAGACAGATTCCCAGCCATGGTTTCGAGCCTCCTGATTTCAGCGCCATGAGGACTGCCCGCCGAGGAGAACGGGGCGCTTGTGATCCCTCTCCTTCTTCTGTTTTGCTCAAAATTATTTTGAATATTCCTTTCCCAAATCAGCATTGCAAGACTAACCGAGGCAAAGAGCTACAAAAACGCAAGGAGTACAGTTGCAGATGGCTATTTTTAAAAACGGCTGTACCTTTTTTTTTATTTCCAAAGATCTGCTTTTCATTGTTCGGGGGGAATTTTCAGTAGTCCAGTAATTACAGTTTAACAAGATGTTTGCTGTAAATGGTCAGGCCTAGCTGGAGAAAACAGGATTATAAATTCAATTACTGTAAAGCTATGACCTCGCCTTGACCCCTCAGACTTTGCATAAAGAGAGAGGGGGGGAAAAAACCCACCAAGAAATGGCTAGGAGGAATGCACGGCTCTGAAGTCCCCAGCAGTGTGACTTAGCGGTGATAAAACTCCAGACGTTCCCTCATTTGATGGGGTTCTGCCATCACAGTTCATTATCTTAATAGTGGGCATTAAAAGGGAATTAGGTTTGCAAGAGGTAGGGGCAGGTTTTGATAAAAAAAATTGGAAAAAGAAGTCAGAGGACATAAGGCAGAAATGGCACTAATGAGGGGGAGGTAGCAGATGCCCTCACGAGCATCTCGCCGGCTTCACCCGGTTTTTTTGTGCCCCATTCTGAATTGAGAAGAGCGTTGCCGGTATTGTTTCCTGAAAACTCGGCTAATTCCCCCATGAAAAGATGAAATGGAAGTGTCCAACTGTGGTAAAAAGCAGGCAAACATAAATCAGCTCGGAAACCCCAAGCTCGTACTCTCAAAGGTCATCGGGGTTAGAGGTTTTGCAGTATTTGCATCCGCACGCAGCCCGACGGAGAGCACCGCGGCGGGGCGAGGGGGCTTGGGGATGGGTGGAAGTCATCCCTGCCATAACCGCTTGCTTTCCTCTTTTTTTGTTGCAGGTTTATTAATGCTAGAAGAAGAATAGTTCAGCCCATGATAGACCAGTCCAATCGAGCAGGCAAGTCCCCAATAGTAACTGTATTCAAGTCACGCAGGCGAAAACCATCCTCAAGCCATTCACCGGGAGGTCCATTACCTGGTAAATAAATGAGAAATGAATGCTGGGAGTGATTGACAATTAAAATACAACCAGCTTTGTTTCATTACAACCCTAATCGTTTTAACATGATTAAAATATTTGGGAGGAAAAAAAACCATTGCAAAGTCAAAAAAAGAAACTAAAATGATCTGCTCCGTGACCAGACTTTCCGTGCACGTTCGGATTTAAAGTTATTTTTATTTTTTTTAGTAGTTGTTTTGAGTTTTCCTTCCCAGCAACTGCTGCTCCTGTGACCACTCCCTGGTGCATGGCTTGGTGTGGAATTGCTGTAAACTTTATTACCTGTCAAAAGGGCAAAGGGGTCAGAATCGCTTGTGGGACTCAGTAAAGTTCAAAGACATTCAATGAGGTAGAGCTTTATGTGCTTTAATAACCCAAGGCAGCTTACTTCTGAAGCCAGCTTTTAATGTACAGTTAAAGCCTCGAGTTCAGGTAGTGGTACTTGTATAGGGTCCTTTTGTCCCTCGTCTCTTCTTTTTAGTAGCTGTCTTTTGGGATCGCTGCGTGTTTGGGGTTCACTTGAGGGGATTTTTTTTTTTCTTTAATTTTAAAATCTTAAGTTTTCTTGTGCCCGTTCTGTCTGGGGTCTTGGCTCGCAGCTCTGTGTGGGTATTTACCATCGAGGAATAGCCTATTACTCCCAGTTGGTTTTGTTTTCCGAGTCTCGCTGCCAAACTATCCAAATCCATCGTTGTCCAAGATGCCTTTGGGCCACGCTTCCTCTTTGAGTACATTCGATTATTTTGTCATTAGAGGTAAATACCTGGCATGGACATGTTCAGGTCCTGCTCTTAGAAAGGCACACGGGCGTAATTTAACACACTGCGATTTCAGTGTGACTATTCCAGCCATAAAATCCGGCTCCTATACAGGTCTCTGCATTGACGTCAGCAGCGACAGCAGCTGGAGCCGGGGCTCCTCGTGTCTCGAGATTTCGGATCGCTGACTTCATTTCCAAACTCGCAGTAGGAAATTAAGCCAAAACTAAGCAAGCTTGTTAGCCCGGCCGCTAAATTCAAACAGTGGATATTTTCCCCTCTTTTTAGAGCCGACATCGATAGCCGTCTCACGCAGTCCGTGGGTGGGGGGGTTGCGGCTTGACGCCGTGAGAAGGGGTGACCCTTTTGGCTGTCGCTAAAGAGCACTGTTCTGCGCTTTTCCAGTAAGTCAAGGAACACCCTATAACCCCGACGGGCAGCCGATGGGAGGTTTCGTGATGGACGGCCAGCAGCACATGGGCATCCGAGCGCCAGGTAAGCCCCCGGGGGAGCGCCGCCCACCCACGGGTGACCTCGGTCGCGCCACCGCAGGTAACCGCACCTCCGCCCTCCGCCGTCGTCTCAGCTGCCTGCCTTGCCTCGCCTCGCCTCGCCTGTCTTCCGCCTGCCTTCAACACCGCCGAGGGAAACCAGGCATCTTCTCGCTCGAGCGGTCCTGAACCCTCTGCCGTGCTGTGTTTTGGAAAGGGGCTTTTGGCACTATCTGTTGACTTTGCTCATTCTCTGGCATCTTCTTGGATTTTTATCTCCCTCTAGGACCTATGAGTGGAATGGGCATGAATATGGGCATGGAGGGGCAGTGGCACTACATGTAACCTTCACCTAGGTAACCAATGGCAAAGCCAGGGGGAAGTAAGTACAAACGGGGTCTTTGTTCTCACTTTGTCCGAGGGATATTTGTCTCCTTGCATTTCCCTATGTTCTCCCTGCCCATAGCCTCATGCTTGTTCCTTCCTTTCCATCCATCCATCCTACGCCTGGGCTCCTTCGGGTTTCTCTCCCTTCGGTTCAGCTCAAGCTTTCCAAGCTCCCAAACCCCCTGTGCGCGCGCGCGCCGTACATCGACGCCGCCATACATTGATGCTATTATCCATCCCCGAGCACATGACAAAACAAGAAGCAGCCGGGGAGGTGGGGGAGCCCGTCGTCTTGGCAACAGACTGATTTGCAAAATGTAAGCGGTCTGCAGCAGCGCAGGGAGAGGAAAGAGCATGTCCCCAAAGTGTCATAAATCTGTCTAACCGCAGTTGATGCATGAGTTACATTTCTCCCGCTAACCTGCAAGACACCAAAAAAGCCAAACAGAGACTTCTCGTAGGTAAAAAAAATAAATAAATAAACGGCGGCTTCACTTAGTTGCGTTTTGGAAGGCGATGGACGAAACTTTGATTTTTTTTTTTTTTAATTTTTTTTTCAAGTTTATTTCTCTTTGTCTGTCCGTCATAATGGGATTACGTGTGGCAAAGGAAAAAGAGAGAATACAAAATAGAGGTGTGCGCAGCAGGCTATGGAGCTTAGCCCAGGCTAATTGACTATATCCAAATTAAGTATGCCATCACT